ATTTTGGACACAAAATTGTCAGCTACTTTGTTATAACAAATGCGTGGGCGTGGCACCATAGGCGCCGACCACTCACAAAATCAACTACACTTATATACACACACACTCATATGATTTAATGTATTCGATATTTGGGCATCGCGTGTGCAGATTTTGACTGCGTTGGCGTGTGTTGGCCCATTTCTGTAGCGCTCTCTGATTCATTGGCCAGATTCCATGGCGCTGCACAATGTTATATTGTTAATATTGTTGTTGTTTTTCCTCTTTTTTGTTGTAATTACTGTGACTGCTTACGTTTGCAGCGATTAGGCGCACGAGTTGACCATGAACCAGTGACTGTTTCAGCCACCCCCTCCTCCAACGCCACCAACTCGAAATAATGCTTTAGCTTAGCCACAGAAAAACAACATTTTATTTGTATTAGTATTCACAAAAATGTAAGAAAAATATAAAGTAAGTGGGAAGTGTACGAATGAAAATACCCTCTAAATGATTGTTTTAATCAAAAGGCCAAAGGCAGACATAGAGTATAAGTTTTTAATTAATACAAACAGATATTTCTGGTATCAAGAGCTTTCTAGAGTCGGGTATTTATGGCCTTTATATAACTTTTTGCTACTAAAGCTCTAATAGCTTTCTGTCTATTTCAGGAGATGAAATACTGTAGAGTTGATGTTTAATTCATTTGATTTATTGCGAAAGTGAAAAACAAACAATAATTACAGTGAAATCAGATTCAAATTGTTGCGCAGGTTTCTAACTAATTATTTGCTTAATTATTGCACCCACGGACGTCACGTGTCGTATCTTAGCCAATAAGGCGCCGCTCACTGATATTTTTGGCGGCTCCATGCACATTTTTGGGGGGGAGGGAAAGGATGGAATGCTGCAATGCCTTGCATTCGACTACTGCCAATATCCGCTGTGAGTGCAGTCAAGCGGCAACAAAAAGAAGACAACAACAACAAAACGGAGAGGAAAAACTGTCAGAATGCGGCAAATGAAGGTTTGTGGATGATTCTCGCTTGGCTGCCCGCCCGAACTGCTTCCGCCACATGCGCAAACTTTGGGGCAGCTAACAAAAAATAACTGTGCCATGTTGGGGTTAAGTGCAAACGTCATAAACGGGACAGAATCAGAAGCAGAGTCGGAGTTGGAGTCGGAGTCGCTCCATTTCTCTCAGCTGAGCTCCCTTTCAGTTGCTGCTGCCCTTTAACTGTAAATTGTGCTGTGTGTACATAGTTTAGTTAACTCTCAAAAGCAACGCACAAAGCACAACAAAACAAAAGGTGATTCATGCGCAACCAGCAGCAACAACAACAACAATAATAATAATAATAACAAAAGCAACAACAACTAGAACTTGTTTATTGCCCAGCAGAGCTCCAAGCAACTCCAGCTGATGAGCGTGGAACGTGAGGCTTGGAGCTTGAAGCTGGTGGCATTGGTCAAGCTGCTCGCTAGGAGCTTCTAAAATGCTTTTCCAATTATCTGCACAAAACATAATGCCCATGGCCACGCCCCGTTTATTGAGGCATTGCTGCGGTTGCCGCTGACTTTCCAAATTGATAATCAACAACTGGCCCCACAATTTGGCTTACTGTTGATTGTATACAGCCCCGGCCTGATCCGAAAGCCTTTCATAACTGAACTGCCCTCGATTCGGGCCATATATGGTATACATATTTGGTGTCGTTGGATCGCTTGATCGCAATCGCACAGCTGTTTCCGCATGCTCCCCCTCCCCAATGCGACCTCAATTTTGTTGGTCAAGGTTTGCTTTGCTGCAGACGTGCTTATCACCCACACAGCTATCCCTTTTCTACTGATAGCGTTCGGTATTTTATTTATATTTCCTTTGAATATTATTCTGATTGGCCTTATCAGCGATTTCTGCATAGGTGTGCAAATAAAACACGCCGAGTCAGATGGCAGTCGCACAAACATGTATAATAAATATTGGGAATGGCGCCATGAAACTTGAATTAACTACAAATTACAAACAGCGATAAGGCCTGGGACTTGATTAAACGAAGGGCAATTCTATTGACCAGGTTATTGTGATTGTAAGCAAATTGAATTATAAAACATTTACATACGCACACATGTGGGAAAATTAAATATTGAAAAAGTTGGAAAACATGTCGGCTAAATATCAATTAAATGTGTTATCTTATCTTAAGAAACATTAAATAACAAAACAAAAAAGTTGATGAAATTCCTATGAATATATGCCAAACGTACAGATCGAACGAGAAAAGCTGGGAGGCTGACAATTTTACTAAATTGTATTTTCGTTTTGGAAAATTCGACCTGCAAGTGGTCAAATCAGGCATACGTCTATGAACGTCGGACTAATGATACTAATTAGTAATTAATTAATAATATAAATAATGATAAGCTTCGGCATTGTGTACATAGTAGAGCGACCCGTGAAAATGTAATTAAAATATTTAAATTTAAAAAGTATGTTAAATTATGTCTTAACATATTGTTGTATTTGTTTAAAAGTATTTACATACATACATATTTGTGTTAAATTGCATTACTCAAATTAAATAATCAATAAAATGCCAAAGTAAGAAAGCTAAACTAAACAAAATTATCGAACACTGCCAGTATGTTTATTAGCTAAATTATGAATCTCATTCTAATGATTGAGTTATGCAATTATACAAAACCAATTAAGATAAAGGATATATGTATGCGATATATATATTAAAAGAGCCAGTAAATGTTATAGCCAGTTATTCATTCAATAGTCAAGATAAAATAACAAGGTAGAAAACTATTTGCTCTAGCTCGATAACTACCTATTTACATACGTAATTGTCGGAAACTCGAGGCAGCTGCTACTTTGAAGTAATATGAATCAAATCGAGTATAAATATATATACACACACACACATATATATATATAAAGAAACACAGACGGCAATATCTGCTCGATGGGTTCCATTACAGGCGGACCATTGCATAGACGGAGGCCCACATATTTCACTTGCCCACAATTCGCCTGCAGGTGGGCAGAGTGGAATCCATTCAAATAAGCATATGAATTTGTAGGTATATCTATGTAGACACACATCTTAGCATATTTTTTACTCCCCACACACGCCCAAAACGAGCACAAATGTTTACATACGACATGTCGTACTTGTGCTTTCTGGTGGCAATGACCTATGTGAGGCATAAAAAAAACAACATAGATATTTTACTTACGGGCCGATGACCATAAATAGCCAACAAACATTTGGTGTTTAACAACAACGGCAACTACATTTATATATATATATATGCCGCAAATTGTTGTTTATGGTTCAATAAACTTGCCGCCAGAGCACAAAGAGAAATTATTATGAAATTCAAATTTAAAATCTAACTAGAAACGCGTCTAAACAAAATGGCGATGGACCACCAAAATAGTTTGGCATAATCAAATATAGCGCGGAAAATTGTACAATTAAATGCGAATAAAACCAAAATCAACAACAAAATAACCACAGGAAATGTTAGAAAGCACAGCGAACGGAGCAAAAGGGGCAACAATAAAATACACACACACACACGCACACACAAACGTGTGTTTGTGTGTAGAAAATGGTGCAAATATCTCTTGGATTTCACTGAGGCACTGACGTTGGCAGCAACGGCGCCAGGGCAAGAACCAACAGAACCACAAAACCAGCCCCAGTCGTCGTACCAAGTACCCGGACCCCGTTTCCCGATCCCCGGCCACGGTGCCCGGTCCGAATGGCCAGGCCCAGTCACATGCAATCGCAAGCTGCGCCGCTTTTCACGCTAATATTAGCAACAAATAGCAGTGATAACTGCTAAGTAGGCAAGCCGGGGACTTGTGCGACTAACGGATGCCCTGTAATTAGCTATCTGCATTTGTAAACAGAATTGTATATGATCAAACTTGATCTTGAGATATTAGATATGTTTAAATAAACATTAGACATATATTATTTAACAAGTATAAATTAGAATAGTTCAATATTTGGCTAAGGTTGCATATACCTCTATAGGGTATTTAACGTTAAGGAACTCACTCAACACGGCATTGCATATTTTCACTTGAGGAAAGTTTTTGATTCATTTTCAAATGCCATTTCCATTTGTTTATTGAATTGCGAGCGAGCGGCATAAATAAATACGCTTTTCATTCGCCGTTAGGTTTTGCGCGTGAAAAACCCAAATCCCAAGGCTGTTTGTCGTAGAAATCAATTAAAATGCCATTAAATCGTCGCGGCAATTGAAATTAAAACTTTGTCGATCGCCATGCGTAATTAAAAATAGGACTTGTCATTTGTTACGCTTCGCATTGGCCAGTTTCGATTTCGTGGCAAATAGATATTTATTTTGGTTCGACGTATTATTGGCCCAATAAACTTTGCACCCCCCCAAAGTTGGCCAGGGACCAACAAAGAGCATCGAACGTCGCCTGCATTAGGCAGCATGGCAGGGAGGATGGGTTGGAGGTGTGGCTCGAGCAGCGCAATGGGACGTGGATTGATAACGTTAACTGTCAGGTGCAAGTGCAGTTGACAAGCCAAAAGCACTCAGATCCAACTGTGAAATCGACACCGAGCTGTAAGCAAGCTGGAAACAGGGGGCCAGCAATTGACCTTGTCCAGCGATTTGTATAGTTTATAAAACTGGTCAGATATATATTTATAATTGGATTAGTATACGTTGAAATAAACCATTGCAAATATCACTTTCCCCTTTTTCTAGCTTCATTGATTGTAAAGATACAACAAATAAGACCTCAGACGGCCTTTGTTGAGGCTGCCTGACCAAGAGATTCCCTGCATTCAGCTCGTACTCGCAGTTAAGGTAGCTACTGAGCTCCGTCTTTGATAAATAATTTAATCTCGAATATGTGAAAATGTGAAATGATGATGACATTCATATTAGTATTTATGTATGTATAGCAAAAACGATTTTCATAATTTTGTGGGAATGACGAAATGTTACAAACTTAAGAAACTTACCTTAAATTGTTTAATTGCTGGCCAGCAACATTTGTGATATTTAAAATGAAAGAAACACCAACTGATATTTTGGCTGTGATTTCGTGTTGTTTACTGAAAGAGATAAAAAAAACAGAATTTAAATTAAACATATAGAGCATTATTGTTTATAACAAATCAATTTAAATCTAAAATAGGCGTTATCTATAAAGATAGACTTGAAAATGTGTGCAAATGAATTTGGTAAAATAATCTAAAAATATCCATAGACTGAAATTAGATCAAGAAAACTAGAGGATATCTCGCCATCGAGCATACTCTCGCATTTGTGTATATCTTTACCTGATTCCGAAGAATCGTATAACGTGGATTAGTCAAGGTCTCGTATTAGTCGAAAGACGTCATCTGGCTAGGTTTCATCCGCTGTTTATAATTAGTGTATGTGATTCATATGCCCAAAAGCAAATACAATATTTTTCTAAACAGAATATTTCCACGCAGATTCCGGCTGGTGTTTGGTGGGCGGCGGAAACTGTACGGCTATCCAATTCAAAGTGACATGCACTCAGAAATGGCTATTTATATATCTTTTTTCATATTGTAGAGAGAGCATTCTCAAAGCGTGCCCCCCCTCGTACTTAACGACCTGTCAACACCTCAAATTGGAAATGTTCGTTCTGTTCAATGTTTGTTTTGATAGACCTTCGCTTGACGCCAGAATTGGCATTTCACATTGACAACGTGCAAAAACATAGAACAATGCAGTATTTTTTTTTTGCCGCGATGTAATCAATAAATTGACAGCTCCCCCTCGCAAAACTGATGGCGGGCGCGTCTAGCGGACTGCACTAGAGATACAAACCTATTATGCCAATAAATCAGAAACCGTTTTGTCAATAACTATAAAGTATTGCCAGACGATAGGCATAAAGAGTGAACAATATGAGAATATGCAATTGGCAAAGTGTTAGCCGAGGGGTATTTATGGGTCTTGTCCAACCATGAACTTTAAATGATAATTGATTTGATTTTAACAGTTCGATAAAGCAAATTATAGGAGAAAAACTATATGTGCAATAGAATGAAAAATGTGTAGGGCAAAATATAGGAATATGATGGAAGAGTTTACATTCAATGGAAAAATTTGTATCCCATACTTAAATCTGTTTTTCTTAGTTCTAGATGTGATTCTTATTTGCAATGAATTAAAATATATGTGTATTTGTGCACCATTTGAGTACTCATCAATAGCAAGTATTTATTCTTAAGAACTCAACAATTAACTAGTTAGTTAGCAAGTCTTTATTTGTCCTTTCCAACAACTGTCCCAGAGCTAATCCCAGCTAAGTGTAACCTACATTTTGTAAACTGGAAGTTCCCTTAAGTTCTAAGCACATTAGCTATGGCAACACTCTCACGCGGCCCTTACGTTTCCTACGCCGACTCGGCCACAGAAGCTGTCGAAGCATAAAGAAAAAACTTAATCATATTTGCAGCGCAGAGGGAGCCAAACAAAGCAAGTGAACAGCTAAATGAGTGAATACAGCTAAGTGAATGAGTGTGAATGAATGTGAGTGTACGTACGAACGTGTGAGTGAGTAGCTGTGTGAGCGTACGCCTGGCTGATTTGCATGCTTTGCTCAGTTTGGCGGCAAACCTGATAAATTTTCATAACAAACTGGAAAACTGGGCTCACATTAAAGGCCGAAACGCTGCCAACGTGAACGTTTTTCTTTTTTTATTCATATTTTAGATAAGTGCATGAATGGAGGAAAACAAAACTCATTCTAATTTTGCAATGAAATTGTGAAAATTTGACAAAAGCCAAAAGAGAAAAAAAAACCAAGTGAAGACAGCTTGAGGTTATGGTCATTACTGTCATCTGGGGACTTTAGTTTTTCCTTTTAATTAATAATGCCAACACCCCTTTCCACCTCACTCTCTTCTGCGGTAGGTGTGTCCAATTGGCTGACAGGCTGCCACGGCTAACAACATAAAATATGACATGGAAAATGGTCATTTGCTGATGTAAGCCTTTTGATAAAGCTGTGTGAAAGTGTTTGACGAACTTGGGCGTCAATTGACGCCTTCACTTGTCCAATGTTATGGCGATAAAAGTGTGATTAATAATGAATGAATAGACGCACACACACTCTCTCACACACACACACACACACACACACAGAGTCACGTGAAAGGCATTGGAAAAGAAATCGAATAGGCATCTGAAGGCCTTCAAAATTGAACTCTAGCGATAAGCTTTTTTTGCGGTTTCTTTCAGCAGCACATAAAATAAAAAAAAATAATAATTTAAAAAAAGGCCAAACCAAAAATAAAATTAAAAGAGATATTAAAGGCAACTTCAAGAGAGTTGCTGACAACTGCGCTGGCCCCGACTTTATACAATTTACTTGACTTTTATTGCGTTAGAACTTTTTCTTTGTTTATTTTATGGGAGGAGGGGCTTCTCGTATGGAGCTACTCGAATTTCAGATACTCTCGAATTTCAAGTGCTTCACTGCCCGCATGTAATTCAGGGATTCGGCAGAGGGTGAGAACACTCGTAAAGTCCTGTTGTCATTTGACATTTGACCCTTAAAATGGTGTGCGACAACAATTCGTGTCTTTAGTACTCGCTGTCTTACTTTTTCTTTACATTTTCCCTTTCATCAAACAAACCTATTTTAATCTGATACTTCCCATCATTCGACCTCTTTCCTATCTATCTATTTAGTCTTTCTATATATATCTCTTCAAATTCTCGATTTTACTTTTAGATATATATATCTTCAACTTTCTATATACCTCTCTTTGTCTCACCATGACTCTATACTTGTCATTCTCTCTATCTAGAGATACTTTTGCGATAACTCTTTTTATCACACTTTTATCTTTAGTTATCTATCTATTTATCTAAGCATATCTGCCTGTTTTACCAATCGCTTTGAATCGCCTCCTTTCATTATAATTCTCTCCCTCTTTCCAGCTATCTATCTTTATTTATCGCACTACCCAGACTGAATTATTGTGATTCTGCAATACAGCAATAATGTTTAAATGTATATATATATATCTTTTTATTGAAGACCTCCCTCAGCCAGCTATAGATAGATAGTTCAGTCATTCTATGAATGTCTATAGCCTGCTGATCTGACAGCTAAAACCAGTTCGACTGCGTTTGCTGATCCATAATTATTAATTATAATAATTATAATTAGCCAATTCATTAACGCTTCAAATATTGGGCAACCAGAAGACTTCACTTTGAACTGGAATCGTTAATTACAATTATGTCAGCAGCTATTTGCACAGTTTGCATTTTCATTGTGTTGAAGGCTTTCAATTATCTTATCAACAGTCAAAAGCCTTTTTCGACCGTAGAAATCCCCAACAACAAAAGTTTTAGCAGTAAAGAAAGAAAAGTTTGTGTTTTTGTTTAAACTCTAAAACGAAATGAAGTTTAGCTGTGTTGAATTGTGTCCTCGTCTTTGCCACAGAGTGGCAAGTGGCAAGTGGCAAGTAGCAAGGAGAGCTACTTAACTGCGCTGTCCGACTGTCAGCCTGTCTGTCAGCGAATTGTAGCTGCAACTGCAACTGCAACAACTAACGCTTCAGCGTCGGCAGAGTTCAAGCAATGGCCGCGACGTCGCGCCGCATCGCATCGCAGTTTAAATGTAAATAAAGAGAAGCGTGAGATACTACAGTGTATATATAGTATAGTATATATAGTATATGAAATATATATAAAGTAGTCGCACTCTCTTGTACTTTCGTGCTTAGTTATTGTTATCAGACGTGACGAGCCGTTGTCCTGAGCCACAGCATGCATAATGCAGCTGCTTGTCTTGTTGTTGTCATTTAGTTGCCACTCTCATTGCAGTTGCAACGTTTGTTGTTGCAATTGTTATTGGTGTTGTTGTTGTTGCACAAGTTCATCAACCGAAGCTGCGTCTGGGCAATTAACTACAAACTATGGGCATAGAGATAATGCATATGCATGCATATTTCTCTTTGCATTTCCACCAAAAAGATTCACCATGACCAAAAAGCTTTCTTTATTTTTTCAGACTAGCGTCCATTGTTTGTGTCCCTGGCAATCTTTATAATTCTCAAGTGGTTCATGCGCATTCTTGATTGGCTTTTGCGTATCTGTCGAGGGTTTTCAGTTTGGCATATGCTTGAAGTTTGTACATCTATAGATACATCTCTATCTATATATATAAATTCTACTTTTAGCTTTTCAGTTCAATTCGCAGCATTGACACGAAATTTCCATATTTATTACACCCCAAATGATGTCATATTGTGTAGTCTCAGTTTCCGAATTGAAGCTGATCCAGTTTCATTTCATTTTTTTGTTTTGTCACTTTTTTGTTGCCTTTTATCTTTGGCGTTGTTGCGCTATTGCCAAAACGCTTTTCCCTTGACACTTTGCCCTGCTCCCTGGGCTTGATTCCCTGTTGAGAGATGCCATCCAATTGTTTCAGTTTCTTGCGTGCACATTTGACTGCAGTTTGCTCATCAGCTCAGGGTTTTCATCTCTTTTCTCATTTTCTTTGTTTGTTTTATTTCTTGTTTTTCCTTGAGTTGACCTGGATTTATGTTTGTCGCGTTCTTCTGCTGTTTTACGCTAATGGCAGCCGTGAATGACATTTATGTTTATGGTCTAGTTTTTCTGTTCTCGAAACATTCAAGTCCAATAAGGCAGCACACACACACACACATACACACACACACTCACATATTTTCATATAGAAAAAGCATTTATGGTATATAAATATTACTGGGTTGAAGTAGATGAGAGCTTAAAGGAAAATGCAATTGCGTTGGGTGCGTGGCAAATTGCAAGCAAAATATACAATTCATTTCAAAAGGATATTTCTTGCCAAAACTTGAGAATTCAGCAAAGTCAAGCTTATTTTGGATAGTGAAAGAAAGCGAAAGCAGATGAGACATATTTAATCAAGATATTTAGCCTTTGTTACATTTATTGCAACCAGCCAATAATAGTCTCATAGAAATAGGGTATTCAATATACAGCTTTACATATTTTATTAAAAATTTCTCGAGTTTAAATTGGATTTACTTTTCTGAGAGTTTAATAACTATTAAATAAATTGTCTAAAACTAATTTTCATGGGATCGTTTTAAATTCATCAAGATAATGAGATGTACAGAAACAACTAGAAGGTATTTCTAATTAAAACTTTAAAAAATTATGATTTAAAATATTCATTAAAAAAAATAAAAAGTATGTATAATCCTTTCCACTTTTTAAACATAATTAACTTTGAGATGTTGTTTCACATGCAAAAGAGCAAATGAATCTATTCAATTTGCGGTATAAAATTTGTAATTATAACTTAATTACGGAATCTAGTACTAAAATTAATTACACTCGATATGTGCTAATGCTAATATTTATAGCTTACCTTTAAATTAAAATTGAAAACTTTGTTATTTTTATTTAAATTGCTGCCATTTCGAAGGGAAATACAATGGAAAAAACACGATTAAAACAAAGGCGCGTTTAAATAAATAACAAAAACAATTATATAAAAAGTAATATTGGCCATAACAAGAAGAAGCAGACGAAAAGTTGAGTTATGTTTGCGCAGAAAAACGAAAACCGGTTGCAACTTTTTGTTTACAATTCGCGACGAGAACAGTTAAAACGAACTGGAGAAAAGCCAAAGAAGGGGAATCAATAAAACAAACAGATAACGCGAGGGGGGGTGGGAGAAAAATATGACAGGCAACAGACACCGAAACCGAAACCGAAACACGCATGAAAATGGAAAGCAGGCACATTGATTTGTGGGGCGGCGGCGGCGGCCGGTTGAAGAGAGGAATACAACGGGACTGGCGACTGTGTTTTTCGGTTAATTTAACAAATAGGCGAATTCACATACATATATAAGCATCCGTCTATGCATGCGTGCGCGCGTGTGTGTGCGTGTGTGTGAGCAGGATGCGCGTGGAAAGGCAGACGCCGACAGCTGAGCGGCAGCAGAGTGTATCAAAAATGAATCATCTTGCGCCTTTTGACGAATGATATGAAGAGATAAAAAGAATGCGGTCGCAATGCGCTGCACACGCACACACAGACACAGACACACAAACACCCACGCTCAAGCACACGCACAATACGATTGTAAATATATATGTGTGTGTATGCGTTTATTTTGAATTCCAGACACGCGGTTCAATAGTAAATTATTTTATTCATAATACAGCCACGGCGGAGCTAGCTGCGCTGCGATGGCGCTCGTTTCACGGCGGCGACAAATTCTGCTTTGCGGGCGGCGGCAATAACAGCAGCAGCACACGCGTTGGTCGTTTTTTGCTGTTGGTCAGCAGCAGCCAGCCAGAGGCGGTCAAAGTATTTCGTTTCACACACGCATAGATACACGCAGACGCGGCACAGTTGTGTCTGCACTCATTATATTATATAACCGTGCATGTGCATTTTATTTAGATCTCATTAGATTTTTCACTTCTGCTCTGCTTAACTTACACTTGTTTTGGTTCAAAAACTAGCACTAAAATCCCGTCCGGTACACTCAATGGTTTTTTTTCGACTGCTATAGTACTGTGTGTGATGTGACCAACAGCGCCTATGACCAAAATGCCAAACTTTTTCTAATAAAAATACCAAACTATTAACCTATCGATTTAGCACATATGGTTTCGATATTGAAACCTTGAGTTTCTTATCGATATTATTGGTCGACTTGTCAATCGACCTATCAGTCACGAAGCATCCGATTGTTATTTCGACAAAAATAACAATTCCAAAACAGCTGTTGCATATAAAATTATAACAAACAAGTGTTTTATTTTAACATTTCCATTTAAATTTAATACCAATTATTAACCATGACAATCAGATGATGAAGATGAAGATGAATTTAAATTTAAATACAATTGCATATAAATATAGTAAATATATAGTTGTGAAAATAATAAACCTCCAATCGAGATGCTCTTATGGAATTTATGGTCAACATTATTGATTCAATACATTGATTTCATACATCACATAATTATAATTTTAATAAATCAAACAAAACGTTTGAATTGAAGCAATTCATTTTTAAATTTCCAATTTGACTTTGAAATTTAAACGAACATGTCATAACGGTCACACTTAAATATTATTAGTATATTTTTCAAGAAAGTATTCATACACATTGTTGGTATTTTAATTAACTCATATATCTGTCTCGCTCTCTAATCAGCCAAACATTAAGAACAGCTGCCGTTTGCAAGAAAAGTGGATTAATTTCAGACACTCTAAAGAAAATTACTGTTAAACATTTAAAATGACAAATGTTTGCGATAATTCGAGACCATACTGGTCGGACGAGGTGATTATTTTTGTTATTACGACAATTCGCAACACACCGTATATGTGGGACAAGACCCATAAAGATTACAGTATACGTTACTTAAAACACAATTTCTGGAAGAACCTAAGATGGACTCTGGAAAAAAGATTCAAATTTCGAGCCTATACAAATGAGTTGGCCAGAAAATGGCTTAATCTAGCATCCTACTACCGGCTACAACAGAAGGCAATTTTCGATGCAAAAGCTCGCGGAGCACAGCCGGAGGAAATAAAGCGTTTGGAAGGTTGGAAATTCTTTCAACAACTGAAATTTCTGCCCTTTGTTGTCTACGATAAAAACAGTGTGGATGTAAGTACTATTTGAAATGGAATAAGTGTGCCTAATATTAAATTCGAAATTCAATCGATAGGCGGAAAATCTATATGACAGCACGCACTCGGACGACTCGGATAATGTGAGCTCCAGGGCACTGGAAGAAAACCAGGCTGTCAACGAGCACAAAACCGAACCTGGCAGTCCCTTGGAGTCATCCTCCGAGCGAACTCCAAAAGTGCAGCCAATAAATAAAAGTTCTAAACAAATTGCAATTGAGGAATTGAATGTGCCAATGGAGAATATTGAGGCGGAAGTCGAAGAAACAACACCAATTGCTATAGAGCCCGTGATAGATGATACACAAAGCACTCCCAGTTTTCACTATGGCATGGCTATTGCTCAGGATGTTTTTGAGCTGGATGAGAACTTAAAAATTGATGCTAAAATGGAAATTATGCAAGTAATTGTTAAATACCAGAAACAACAACTGCACCGCACAGTAATGAATCTTGCCGGCAGCTAAGCATTTGCAATAAATTATCTTAGTATTTATATTATTTAGACATATGTACATGTTTAAAATCGTGTCTATGTAAATATGTATGTAAACACAATAAAGAAAGAAAGACCTGGCACAAGGTGACTCGTTATTTGGTATTTATATGATTAACATAAAAAATACTGGCTTACTGTGCTGGCATTTATTGCCTGATTTTATGCTTTAAATAATACAGGCACATTGTTTGAAAATTTCTTCAAAGGTGGGTACACATCTCGCAAAAAAACGCAACAACAAATTGTAATAAACAAACAATTAAAAAAAATATAATGCATAGTATTGCTAAGTTTTAAACTTATTTAGGAGACCAGATATATGCATGCGTAAAAGCAGGCAAATATTTGTCCTAACTTGCGTGTTCCCTATTTACGTTTTAAATATGGCGTCATGCATACATATAAAAATGGCGTTTCATTTGGCCAGCTCTGGCGAACTGCTTTTTTTTCGTTGCGGCTAACGATTTCCACGTTTTTCCACAGCGTAAATCTAACTCTTGATCAGCAATATGACTGGACGTGGAAAGGGAGGCAAGGGACTGGGCAAAGGAGGAGCTAAGCGCCATCGTAAGGTATTGCGAGATAACATTCAGGGTATTACCAAGCCGGCTATCAGGCGTCTTGCTCGTCGCGGTGGAGTTAAGCGTATCTCCGGCTTGATCTATGAGGAGACACGCGGCGTGCTCAAGGCAAGCATTATAACAAAATATATATTTCAGAATGCACACACACACATACACATACTGACATACCTTGTTACCAATGCATCCAATAGGTGTTCTTGGAAAACGTCATCCGTGATGCTGTCACTTATACTGAGCACGCCAAGCGCAAGACCGTCACTGCCATGGATGTTGTCTACGCCTTGAAGCGCCAGGGACGCACCCTGTACGGTTTCGGCGGCTAAATGCAGCAGCAGCAGCATTGGATGTGAATGACGTATGCATTGATGCAGGATTGGAATTAATCAATATATATATATACATAAAAAGCAGCACATTTAATCCTCAATCATTATAATCTTGAATATTTGAGCAAATCTAAGCAGTAGTAACTACAAAATGTTGACAAACAGAATATTCCATTATTATTACCATATATAGTATATAACTTGTATGACAATTTTTGCTTGCAACCTTACGATGAAGTGTAAACGCAGTTAGCCAGATCTAATGTGATCCAAAATCAAAATCAAAAGGCCAATAAATCATTTGAGGAAGGCGCAAATACTGATTTATTAACAATTTCAATTCGGGCTACATGAGTTTATTGTTGCCGCGCTTTGTAGTGTATTTATTTTTGTTTTGTCTTATAACAAAATCGCGCAAGTTGTGGGCGCTTGATATATAGTTTAAATGTATTTTATTTTGAATTAACTGCATAACCTAAACCGCGATCGGACTAAGATTTCTATATACACAACCAACGCGTGCTAAATCCCATCTACTAGCGTGACACTTAATCTCCAGGGTTTGGTTACTGCAAATTTGGCCCCATGCTCTGATTGTGGAACAAACCTGTATTGTTTCCTTGGTTTATTCTTTCCTCTTTTGTTGTGTTTTTTTCTTCTTCTGTTCGAGCTGTCGGGACTGCTATGAGAGCGTATCAAAAAATTGCCAGTTTCCTATTCTTGCTGTTGTTGGTGTCGATGCGGCATCGGGTGGTTGGCATTTAGTGATTATTTTCATTCTTTTTCCTCTGCATATCCAAATAGACGGAACGTGGCGAAACAATATGATCTTCAGTGTCTTTATCATCGCATAGTTCCACTTCCTCTTCCTCGTAGTGTGTTGTGCGTCTCATGAATACCTTCATTGGTTGCATGGCACTCTCTGCCTGTCCACGTGCCGTTCCTTCCGTCTTCTCATTTTCCTCAGAGTCCGAGCCATTCGTGGCTGAATCCACCGACGAATCCTCCATATTCGCCATATACGATTCGACCTGCATATAATCGCCATTCACAGCCTCGCGCCCCTGATTCGATTCATTTGACTGTTGCTTGGATTTGTGACGCTTCTTGCTGGACTTGCTGTTAATCTTACGCTCCAGCTCGGCCATGTACAAGGCCATCTGGCTGTTGCCTATATCACTATACTGTTTCTTGATCTTGGCAATATGCTTGCGATTATCGTTGCGCACCCCATCCCCAATGTATTCGCCTTCGTACTGGGCATTGCCATGTGGCTTCTGTGCCATGTCCTGCTCATAGTAGTCACCATCTTCGCGGCCCTCATAGCGTTTGCGTTCCATTTGCTGCTCGTTCACCAGGCAACCGTCGCCAATGTCCACCTCAAACTGCACATTGGGATTAAGCTTGAACTGCGGGAATACTCAAGTTAATGGTAACAGATTCTCTAAGAGTTCGTGGATTAATACACTCGCTCGCCAAGGCAAAAGGGGTGTATTGGCTGCGAACGAGCATTGGGCCGTCGGTTAGACCCGACTGCATTCCTGCTTGTTTATACTCACATCGCGCTCATTGGCAAATTCATGATCAGATTTGGACTCGCGTTTTTTGGCATTTTCTTTGGAGAATGCTTCAACATATTTCATTTCGCTGCGCACCTTGCGCACCTGGAGCTGCTGGCGCATCTGCTGACCGTCGGCCATCACAGCATATGCTTGCTCGCTCTCGTCGTCGTTTCCTTGCACCTGTAACTCAGGTGGAGCCTGCTCCATTTCATACATTTGCTGCTGCTTACGTAGTGTGGCATTGGCGCTGCGTGGAGTTGAATCGGAGCTGGTGACCGCGCTGTTGACCAACTGATTGAACTGGCTGGCCGTGGGCGGCCCGTTCTTAAAGCTGTGGGATTGGAATGGTACATGGAATGGGTTTGAGCTGTTTGAGCAGTGTGTGTGGCTATTTACGTTTTGGTAAAGGATTGCAGCAAGTCGTTCTTCACTAGGACATAGCCCTTGGGCAGTGCATTGTTGTCCACCACTTTCTCGGGCGGTGGCGGCGGCATCGGTGTGCCCTGGTCCATGGACATAAGCTGGTTGTTGAGCTTCTCGTTCAGTTTCTCAGCCTTTTTGCGCAGTGTGCGCTCCAAGGATAGCTGCTCCTCCAGGGTCTTGGTGTGCGCAAGCAGCTGGGAAACGCTGTACTTCTGGCTCTTGGGCAAACTCTGCAGCCCATTTATGCAGCTGAGATCATATTTCGGCTCCTTCATCTTTTCCTCATCCTCCTTGCCGAAATGATCCCGTATCTGACGCATTAGGAACTTGCTGATGCCATCGTTATGCCGCACATTGAACTCGGTGATGGCGTTATTCAAACTGAGGCACTCCAATATTATGTTAGCGCCACAATCGGTGAGACCGCAGTTCTCCACATCGATAGCTGTTGATGCCAATCATCAGAGATGCACCCAATCTAAGCACTACCTACTTACACTTGACCCAGGCATCCTCCTTGAGCACCTCAGCAATCGGCCGAAGTCCGTTGTCGCCCAAGTCTGGATTATTGGCCAGACCAATTGTGCGTAGACCTGAAATTGAATCGACATCCACACTGCGATAGCGCAGCGACTTCTCCCAGCCCTCTGAGAAACGCGTAATCTTTTGCATCTGCAATCAAAGATGGGGTTAGGCTGCGTCCGATCTAGGGCTGAACGTACCTTAATCATATCGGCGACATATTCAGCACCCTTTGGGCTTATATTGCATTCGGAAACATTGAAGATTTCCACATGATTCAGATATTTGACGGTGCCGCAAACCGCCTCGCAGCCCTTGTCCCCAATGTAAGATTTCTGGAAGCTCACCTCCTTGAGGCAGTCATTCGAGGCAAGCGACTGGGCAATGCACTCAATATAGCTATCCTGCAGCGGCAGACCCTCTAGTTTTAGTACGGTTAGATTCTTGTTAAGCTTTACGCAATTGGCAATTGCCTCGACAAGACTGTTAAAAATAAAGCGCGTATATATAACCGGCTTTTGACGGAAGAGTCGTGCTCGGTTCTCCGTGTCGATGGGTAAAACGATATCTGTTCGAAAGAGTTCCATTAGCTGAGATCTGGTCTAACACTCCGTTTTGTCATCGACTTACTGTTGCCATTGGTGCGGCGCATGCGTATCACCAGGGTTTGGAGCACAAGATCGTAGTGCAGCGCCTCGATGATCAGTAGCCATTCACTGACGCCCAGCTTATCGCCCAACAAGTCTAGGAATGTGGTAGCATTGGGATTTGAGCGTATGTCTGGCACTGGTGTCAAGTTCTTGGCGCGACAAAGCTCTAAATAACGAAAATGAAAGGAACGGCTCTTGCTCGACTTCTTCACCAGCGGAGGCACCGATACCACCACACTAGCCCTCTTCTTGGTCTCGCGTGCACGAAACATAGACATGTTCTGTGAAAGATGCAAAAAAATAAAGAACAATTATTATATATACTTATATACTTTTTTGATCGGAAAATCAATGGGAAATATGTGTTGTGCATTTGGAGAATATTTAAATGCTAGAATTATCTTTCTTTCTGTATGAAAAAAAAATTGTTATATAATTTGGTTTTTTATTTTAGTCCAATTACTCGCTGAACTCTATAATCCATCATTTTGTCACGCAAACCCGCAAAGAACACGATTAACCTTCAAAGTTATATAAATCCAACGCACTTCCGTTCAACATTTGAATTTTACATCCAATATTCCAACCGCCAACATTTCCAGCTTTCCATTGGGCTCTCCCGCATTTGCGAATTGTAAACAAACCCCGCCGCTGGAATTCACGCTCCGCTAATTACTCGCGTGCCCGCACAGTGCAGCGAGCGCTTGTTCGGCTAATGCCGACGTTGACGCCGACGCCGACGTCAACGTCAACGCTGGGGGGGTGGCCATGTTGCTGGTCGGTGACAACGACGACGGCTCAATTCCCATACAGCACAAGCCGGCAGACGCAACCGTTTGAGCCTGGCCTGCAGTCAGTCGACGAGCGACTGTTGAGGCATACACTTCGACTACGTCGGGCACGCGGTTATCACGTAACGGTTAACAGTTTCGAAAGTGCAATTCCTAGCTGATCGTGTTTTCGTGTGTGTGTGTGTGTGTGTGTTTTCGTGTGTGTGCGTTCAGCAAGGCAATTAAAAGTGAAGATCGCTTAGAACCTTTTTGTTTTCGGCACGTTCCCCTGTGGCGTCATGAAATGCCATTAAAGTGAAGCTTCTTTAACATGTACCCCGAATGACGGCGACAAGTTCGAGTTCCGCTTCGTGCATTGCCCAATTTCGGCGACACATTTTTATTGTGCTCTATTTGTGTGCGCGTACGTGCGAGTGTGTTAGTGTGTGTGTGTGTGTGTGTGTGTGTGCGGGGTTTTTGACTTCTGCCTAATTACCAGAAACGTCGTGTGCTGTACTTGAGCCATAGACAAAAGAGAAGGGTTCTCTAAAATGTGTCCATATTGAAAAGTGGCAAAGAAAACAAATGAAAATTCGCACTAAACCAGACAGAATTGGGCTGTTATGTAATTAACATAAACGTCAGCTGGGTTTCGTATTGCAACGAAGGATACCTGATATCCTAGCCAAGACAGCAATAGCCATGGGGTAAGTTTTAATGTACTCCTGCCTGAGCCTAAGGCGTGCAGTGCAAAGGGGCGAACCGGACAAGGTATTTTACTCTTTACTCTTGTTGAGGGGTGGAATATTCCTATTAGCATATAAGGTGCCCTTCTCTCCTACTTGTCCTGCATACGAAGTTAAATAAGAAGTAATATTTATAAATCTCGTGAGTGTGCGTGTCACGTACGTGTTTTCGAACTCGAATTATGTATGGTACATATAGAACGTGGTACAAATTGGTTTGTGCGAACATTTAACATGGGCCCATCTCTAATGGAAGGCTCGTTGTGATAAAGTCAACTATCAAGACCAAAAATATAACGTGTTTTCGAACTCGAATTATGGTACATACAGAACATGGTACATTTCGAAATCGAAATGTGTTTCGCATTTTTCGTAGAAATCAAGCATTCGTTCACGTCTATTGTAAGGCTTTATATAAGGCAAAGGGAAGGTCATATCAAGACGAAGAGGCCAAAGTCGAATGCCAATTTGAATGATTAGTCGAATATGCAAATAATAAAGTGTAGAAAACGAGACGAACTGTAACTGAGATTAGGTTCGACCATGTTTGCCGGCAGAGACCACGGCTAGGAGCATTACCATGAAAGCGATGCGGATGCGGGCCCTCCAGCTGAACTCTTGGCTGACTCCGGGCTGTGACTCAAAAATCAAGCTACCGCAACGAAGCTGCATACAGCTGCCCCTCACTACTCACTCCCGCTCCGCACGAGCGGACGGTTCACTCTTTTGTTTTGTCAGCAACAAAAACAACAAGAACAATAGCTTTTGCTGCTGGCGTTGAACTTGACTGTCGGAGCCACGTTTCGGAATCGGAATCGATGTGCATGACAAAAAGGGCTCTAATATGGGGGAGGAAGTGTTCAAATTGGAATAGTCGAGCCATAAGCTCATTTGTTTGCTCACTCGCTCGTTTTTTGCGCCGGAAACTGAAGGCAACATGCGGCACATAGCCGAAGACAATTTGTGTTTCAGCTCCAACGCCTCAGGCCAGATTAAACATATACATATATATTTTTTTTGATTTTAATGAAATGAAGCCGATTGTGTGGGCCATGTGAAGACTGCCACGGCTAATCCCCAAGCCAGTCTGCCAGGCATTGCATTGGAAAGCTAGCCCCCAAAATTACTGTTTATTGGCATTTCCCTGGCATTTGTAATATGTTTGGATTTTGTTGTGGTTACAGGAAAAACCGCAAAATCAAAATGTATCCATTGGATACACAACATGTCTCAAAATATTTTCACTTATGGCAATCCACTGATCGATGACCCCGGCGGCAACTGGAGCTGCAGCTGTGGTCAGAGAACATGTCAAGCGCAAAGAGCCAAAAGACAAAAAAAAAAAAGGGGGCGGCAAGTGTTATTAGCAAATATATAGTCTGGCGGCGGCTTTTTGTCAGCTTCGAGCCGGGCGGAGTCGACCCAAAAAGTTCAACCATGTCACGCGCTCCCTTCGCAGATCTTGGAGCTCTTGTTGAGGAAAAGCGGCGTCAACATCGTCATGGTATATGAACCGGCGCTTATATAAAGCAAGGCAAATGCCTTCAGCGAAAAGCGCTTGAAATATCGTCTTTCATATTTGAGCACTGACAACTTATTAATTTGCACTAATTCGGCCATGTTGGCCAAATTGGCTGCATGAAACTTATACCAAAGAAAACGAACCCCAAATTGAGGTAATGTAATGATACGCTGCCATAAATTGGGATTGTTTTTATCGAAAGGGTTTTAGTTTTTGCCAATTGTTGCGTGAAATCTGCTAATAAAATGTTAAAATGCTACAAATTCTGCTACTCAAATATTCTAGCTTCTTTTTTTATGCGCAACTTTCTAATTTCAACAGCGCATTAAAGAGTCTTAAAACATCTCAGTTGAACTTAAATTAAGTTATAAATATTGTGAATTTAGAAAAGATTGAAATTAAAGAGAAATCTTATACAAATAGAGCGCATTTTTCAAGTAGAATCTTCGATCTTATACTCCATCTTACTTTGAATCAGGCCTATAATTCACATCAAATTATAAAGCATGACTCGAATCAAGCCAAGTGTATTACATATATCTGCCTAGACATATGAAGAATATTGACAGCACACTCAGAATTGATATTAAGATTCAAATTAACAAAAAAATCTAAGACAGATACGCATTAACGAAGTAGAATCTTCTTACGTATTTTCTCTTGGAATATATTTTCGAAAAGAAACAATCGTGTTTCTTATTGAATCCGATACAAGCTGAGAGACTTTTGTATATATTTTTATGAGGCATATCTGTCTAAATATTTGTAGAATATAGACAGCACTCAGAATTGATAGCCTCAATTGCGAACATATTTAGCTATTATTAGCTGCACAAATCGCAGCCAAAATCATTGCAGCATGAAATTATAGTTATATACACACCGATACCTGGCTCTATACTTCTCCCCCTCCCCCTCCCCCTCACCGCCCTCTCCTCCCCTGCTTGGTGCTGCTAATGAAAACAGCCACTGACCAAACAACCCAATTGCGCTGTACGTTACACAAAAGCGTTGGCCATAAATACATAATTACCTCAAGCAGCATCTAAATGCCAGTAAGGAAAATTTTTTTTTAATAATAGAGATAAATCAAAAAGAAAATTGTTGCATGCGGCGCTTGGCGGCGGTTGAAAGCGAAATCGCCTAATCCCGACGCAAATGAAATTATTTTTAAATAAATTATTCGCCGCGAGGCTGTTTTAAATAGCATTTGAAATTCATAAACGACCTTGTCTGCGCTTTTTCAACACAACATAAATATGACTTTCCAAGAGGTTGATGTAACACGCGAATGCTAATGAGCTGCATTTGTATCTGCATCTGTAATCGTATCTGTATCTGCAACTGTAATTGTATCTGTATCTGTCTGGAGTCTTGCAAATCAATTGCCGGGCAACCAAATTACTTGACAACAAATTATGAAATGTCAATTGTGAAATCAATGAACTGTCTCGGCTTGCGGGGGGGGCATGGCAAATGCTCTGCTTTTAATAAGCCACAGCCGAGTGCAACACAACTCGGAACAATGGCAATGTCTTGTGTTAATAAGCCAGCAAACAGCTGACGAGCATGAGATGCATCTGACAGCTCTGCACACATTCAGATACAATTTTCACACGCATTACAATCAAACATCAGATACAGCTGCAAAAACCACACAAAGATAACCCAACAGCTTCATGTGCATTCGCGTTGACGAAATATCAAATTGCAATTCAACTGCAAGAGATTGGATTGAGAGAAGTGTGGGTAGCCTAGGTGTAGTTCTTCCATTAGCCCTACAATATGTAGATTATTTATCTTAAATGAAGCAATGAAATGGTGAAGTTTTCATGGCTTTTCGAGATTTGGTTCTTTAAATTATAGATTATCGTTCGCCAACCAGATCGACTCAGCATTATCATTATCTTTATATATTATACCTTGTCTTCGCTTAGCTCTAATACACATTATATATTATACTCCCATTCAGTTTTCACTTAGATGTTTAATCGTAATTGTCTAGCAATATATAGAAACTATATACAAATATTAAAAAAAAAGTCAAGAAACGTAACGGTCATTAAACTTTTAACAAATGAAATTTTCTTGAGCGGAATTCCGGGCTAATGCCAAAGAAAGAAGTCAATGAAAGAAAACAAATTTCGACGCTTAATTAATTTGCACATAAAACTTTCGCAAGATCTCTGTGCCGCCGGCTACTCACGCAGCCCACGAAAACGGACAAGACCAGAACGTGCTCC